TTTAAAAAGACAATGTGCTAGGACTTCCACGCGCTGGTACAGCTCTCCCAACTCAGTGGCAGCTCAGTCTGGTACATCAGTGGTGACCCAAACCACGCAGGTAGGATGCAGTACCTACCCTCCTGTGCAGATGGCCGTGGAAGGCAAGGAAATGGTACACGGGCTTGACTGGCCCCTGCAGATGAGCTCCTTTCAGCCTTTTGAAATGGAAGCAAATAGATTCATGGGGGTGGGGTTTTTTCTGTGGAAAAATTTGTGAACTAGAAAACCAGCACGTCTGAAATTTGACGCTTACATTTATAAATATTTAGGGCCAGTTCTGTTCATTACTCATGAATATAATCGCAGTGACTATTCCTGCAAGTAAAGAAAGCAGACTCAAATGTAGTGTCTGAAGTGGAATTTTTTTTCTAATGAATGACCGGTCTTGTCTCGGCTCCTCTTTCAGTGTGTCATTTATCTTGATTAAGTAGTAAATCTCTTCCTTCTTGTTATTTAGAAATCTAATCCTGATTTCATCTTTACAATATTAATGTATGCTACTGAGCATGATGTTTTTGTGGGAATTTGCAGAAGTTCAATAGCACTCATTACTTGTTTGCAACAGAAATAGACTCATTTGTTAAAAGCTAACAAGAAAAGTTTGAAATGTAAAGATGTTTCATTATTGTGCTTTTCTGACAGAATGTGTAATCTTTGTGTAATTTATGTTTTCAGAATAACACCTATATGTACGCTCTTTCATATTTAATAGAATAAAACATTGTTGTAAAAACATCTCTGAAATCCTCGTTTATTGTTCACCTGCTCCTTCTTATGGTGTGAAATGGCTTTAATGTAAACTGCTCCCTGTGCTTAGGAGGCAACCAAAATCTTGCAGTGACACCGGGGAAATGCTCAATACTAGTATTGAAGTTTTTTATTCTCTTTATTTGTATTTTGTGGGACAGTTTTCAGTGAGGAAGCAGTGCATTAAAAAATCTGAGGTCATTATCTCTCAAACTGGTGATTTCTTAAAAAGGAAATATTGTTCATATTCCATCTAGTTTGGCTGAAGTTTGCATTTCTTCAGAGGTGAGGCTGGGTGTGAGGTGACCAGTTGTAATATGCTAGGTTGAGGTTCCCCATACTCAAAAATGGGAAAATGTCTCAACCTGAAGTTTCAAAATAAAACGCTTTAGTTGAGCTGGTTATATTAAGCCACACTTTGTAACATATTCAGTGCATGGTACACTGCTACTACTGCCAGTGCTACACATACCATTGTGTAAGTAGAATCCATACGAGCTGGGAAGGAACTCTTAGTCAGTAAACACCTGCGGTGGGGGTGGGATGTGCTGAACAGAGAACCTTCTTGGGTTTGCTTTACAAAGTCCAGGTGGTGTTCTCACCTCACTGAAAGCAGGGGGAAATTTCCTCACTCTCATGTTGTTCCTCCAGCTCTCTGAAGTGCTGGGATCTAAACCTCAAGCCCTGAATCAGCGTTGACATAGATGGTGCCCACAACCAGGCAGGAGACACCTTCCTCTTGGTTTTCTCTCAAGGCCTGGCCAACCTTGGGTGAAAACCAATTAGGGAATTAACACCAGGTGTCCTGCCTTTAAAATTAACAGTATAAAAGCAGGCTCTGCTGGCAGTGGATGGGGGAAGCTTACCTATGTAGTGGGTGCGCTGTGCAGGGGCTTCCAGTTATTGGAAGGGCTCCCTGGCTGTCCACAGCAAGTAGGGTTCCCAGCAATGGTGGGGCAAGATTGAGGCCAGGACAGGAGGACTGTGTATGTAAAGATGCTTTTCCTTGGCAATTACTGTATGATTGGAATTGGACTGATGGCCTGGTTTATTCCTTCCCTTGTGACTTGGTTTCTATCTGGGCTCACTCCTTTCTTTGCTATATGATACACCCTGTGTGAATACATTGATCTATTTGTTCCTCCTGTTGTTGGCCATCTCGTATCTTTCCTATATTCTCTGAAGTGGGACGATAAGTCTGGCCTGTGTGGACCCTGCTAATGGCAACACCCTTCCTGCTGGGGCAGGCAGTGAGCAGCAGACTCTCCAAGCACAAGCCGGCACCGCTGCAGAGCAGAGGTCTGGCGCAGAGGCTCGGCCACAGCCTGCTGCAGCCCACGGGTCACCCTCCGTGTTTCCCAAGCACAGCGATGGGACCTAGTCTGAAGGGGACACTGCATCAGATGTGCTCGTGCGCGTACATGTATACGCACGTATGCGTGCAGACACCCGCACGCGTTGCGTGGGGATATAGATTTGTGGGTATATATCTCTGTGGGTTTCTATTTTCTATATATGTGCGTATATATACCTCTGGAAGTGTTCAAGGCCAGATTGGATGGGGCTTTCAGAAACCTGGTCTAGTGGCAGGTGTCCCTGCCCATGACAGGGGGGTTGGAACTAGATGATCTTTAAGGTCCTTCCCAGCCCAAACCATTCTAGGATTCCATGTTTCCCAGTGCACTCATCTGTGGAAGTCCAGTACCAGAGAAAGGCTGCATTACTGTGTTAGAGGGTTAGGAATAACATAAAAGCACTTCAGAAAGTGCCAACACTGCTTCTGCCCAGCATTTTGAAGCACACTTGTCAAAAAAGACATGGCACAGAATGATTTTATTTCCCCACAGGAAAGTCTGACAGTTGGCAACAGTAATCCCTTAAATGGCACATCTGACAACTCTGGTAATTGCAAAGCAAATGCTGTTGTTTGGAGCACAAGATGACCATCTACGTTAGCAAGTAGCACACTGCCAGTTATGCACTGGGAGCACAGCAGCTGCAGCTCAGTGCCTGCCAGCCACGAGACACTTTTTGGAGATGTGTACTTGAGACTAGCTCTCCTGGGGACAGACTGCCCATCAGCAGCGGCAGCACCCTGGTAGTGCCCCACATCACAGCTATAGTTTTATCCAAAAGGAATGGGACTGAGACCATGCAGGCTTGCACAGGAAGCACTGCAAACAGGGACAACTGGGACGTATGCTTGAAAAGCAGACTCAATCTAGCACATGCATGTTGGTGACCTTGCAACACAGCAAGATGTCCATGCTGGTTTCACGTAAGCCTCACAGGAAGTACAGCAGTAGAGTACCTAATATGTGTACTTTTAATATATAACATTTATTGCAAAACTTGTTTTCCAAATACTTCTGTGTGCACGTTTTCCATCAATAAGGTTGAAGTGTTCTTCCAGAGGACTGGATCACGACTACAGAACATCAGGTGAATGAATGCCAAGTTCTGCACTGGAAAACCCATAACTCCAGTCTGTACTTTGAGCAAAGAATGACAGTTAATTTGATCCTAGACATACATAAGGAACAAAGGGCAGTGAAACTTTTGAAGCTGCAGTGCAAGTGTGCAGAAGATACAGAAGGTTATGTGCCAGTCTTTGAGATTGTAAGTACAATTCACAAACAGCTATTCTCCCCTCCCCTGGATTGTTTTCAAGACTGCCAACTTACTTGCTGGCCCTCCTTCTTGAACAGTGTTGAGTCTGAACACATTTAAAGGAAACTATTCATTAGAATACAAATAAAAGGAAAATACAGACCTCTATCTCCAAGAATGTAAATCGTTCCAACTGAATCTCTTTTCAGAAGGGAAATCTGAAGCACAGTTTGCAGAACAGTCAGTATAGACTATGAACTCAGTCCCGAATAGTGACTCTCCACTGTCCTTTCTCACCTCTGCTGAAACGAAAATGAAATCTGACAGTGGAGACAGCTTTAACCTTGACATTCCTCTGTTCACATCAAAACACTTTGGTGCAAGGAGTTCAGTGCTGTCCAGGGCAAACCTGATTTTTCAGATTGACGTCTAGGAAGTGACCAACTCTGAAGCCCGTTAAAACCAACAGACATTTAAGAAAGAGGTTCTCTCCTTAGTTATTTCTGAACAAGACATAAGTGACCTGTTTTGGTAGCAGCTGGAAAAGCAGCACCCTGTATTCTTTATGACTGTGCCACTCTGGTAGCAGTAACAAATTGAGGTGCTGACAGCAGTCTAGCATGGGGCTGTCAGTCAGTACTGAGAGGTCCCACACTACAGCCTAGTTTTACAAAGCTTCTGTGTTATCCTGGGAGCAGTATCGGCTGCAGGCTGAATCAGAGAACATTCTGAAGAAAATGAAGAAAATTAATCTAGTGGTATGCTGGTTTATCTCTCTTTGTATACAAGTGCTGTCTTAAAGAGCAAGTGATTTTGGCACCCTTGTGAAGACTGTCCTACAGGCTGTACTCAAATTAGTACAGGTACCAAAAGACAGTGACACTACAGGACACTACATCAGACCCCCGAAAATACTGTACCTGCAGAAAGTGCCAGTGGAAGAGGCTTTGTTTTAAGGGATGAGATCTTTTAAATTCTGGTGTGATCCATTATCTTAAAAATAGCAGAGTGAGGTGGAACAAACTGCAACCTCCCCACCCCCAAACTGCTTTCAGGTCTGCCAACCTATCTGTTGGTCCTGCTGGACCCACGGATGGATCCAGTTTTGCCAGCTTCTGCAAAGGACAAATCCTGGCTTTTAAATCTTGGGCCATTAGAGACTGCAAAATGCGTTCAGGATTCCCAAAATTATTAGACTGGCTACTTTCTCATCTCCCTCTTGTGGACAATCCATCCCAGAGCTTGCTTCTGAAAAATACGGTCTGCTTTCACAGGGTACATGCTGTCAGCATGACTTTTAAAGAGATCACTTTTGGGATTTACTAAAACTGGAAATATACTTATTGCTGTAGTCTTCATTACTTTGAAATATGTATATCTAAAGTAAAGTCAAGAAGTTTTTCAAATCTGCCTTCTGGCTTTCCTCTTTTTCTTCTAGGTTAAGCATTCGTTTTAGCTTAGAAAAGTGAAATTTGGAGTTTCTGGGAGTCTTGGAAGCAGAGCTGGTTGTCGCCTGTCCGGATACACGTGTTCTGAAAAACAAAAGACTCAAATGTCTTAAAGGTGAGGAAGCAGAAATTAACATCAAGTAACTACAAAAGTGCATATATGTATAATGTGGGTGAAAAATTTTGAACCTAAGTAGTGAATTTTCATGTGAAAGCAAGCAGTCAGAAGTATCACTTTGTTATGCAGATTTTAAGCCAGACATTTCATATTAATGACAAAAACATCATTGAGCATTCTTTGCATGTAGCTGCTTTTCATTACAATCTTTGATTTTAAAGGTTAGAAAGTTAAAATCCATTTCCTCAACCAGACTACTGAAGAGAAAACGTTACAGTTTAAACTTGAAGTGACTGATCTGCAGTCAGTAGGCGATGCCCTTTCCCCACAAAGCAATACACTGCTTGGCAAAGTGCCCCTGGAAAGAGGAGAAACAAGTACCTGGGAAGGGAGGAGGGGCTGTTCCCTTTTGATCCCGACCTCCAGCTTACAGGTGTCACTTTGTTCGCAGACTGAACTTTTACACCTGGTGTCCTCAGGCTGGATTTATTACTTGGAGTGACAGAATTCTGTGTCTTGGCAGCCAGAATATCCCTGCTTTTACCATAATGTCTTGTTGTTGTGTTGCATGAGTTGCAAGTAACCAGCTATGGAGAGAAGAAAGGAAATTGAAACTGTTCTTTCAGTCATTCCACCTTTATGTTATGAAGCTACTGTAAGAATTTAGATCTAAACTATTCTCCAAATATTATGACACAAATATTTGCTTAAGTGAATGAGACGTTAAAAAGCAATGCATATTTTACACCTGGCATTTTCATTTACACGTCCTATGGGCTTATCTAGGAATTACTCCAATCCCCTAGCAACTAGTTTCATGAGACCTGTAACTCCGAGTGTGACTTTGTAGAGTGAAATACAGGGAACAACACTGTCAAAGCAGCACGATGAAACGGCAACTGAACCGGATATATGAGACCTTGAGTACACATTAGGGGTATTTGTATTTTGCTAAAACCCATGACATCCAGTGTGCTCTACATTCATTACCAGGTCCTACCTCCAATGAAGCTGCATTACCTTCAGGGAATCTTGAGATAAAAGACTGAAATTACCAAATTCTCAAAAACAGTCACCCGTAAGTAATAACTGCAAGTATCAGTGAACAAAGAGGAGGCTTTCTATTAGGGCAAAAATATTTAATACAGTGTGGAGGGGGCTCTAAATGAAGGGCACTTTCTCTCCTATCTGTTTACTTCTAGGCTGCAGAACTTCCAGCAGCACACTGTGCTGCAGAGGTGCTCCAGAACAGATAATGCCAGCCAGCCAGAGACTGTCAGATATTCCCGATACCCCGTACTGCCATGGCAACTGCTCTTAGGAAGAGACACCAGAGTGATACACTCAGGCAACTTTCCCAGGCACACAGTTACACTGACTGAAAAACACAGTTATATGATGCTTCTGGTTAAAGAAAAACAGCACAACTCAAAAGAAAGTAATGAAAACATCTAAGCCGTTTTGAAAACATCTCTACCAAATCATTCTTCACTGCAAAGTGTGTAAATTTACCTAAATTCAGGTTGCTTAGCAAGAATTCCATTTAGAAATGCTGAAATGAAACATTTTCAGTTATGTGTTTTGCCTGTCTCCAGACATCATTCTGTCAGCCTAACAGACTAAAAAAAGAGCAAGATTGTATTGATGTACTTTTAGTTCTTCTAAATGAAATTCAGATGGGGAAAAAACCCACGGCATCCCATGACGATTTAGTACTCCATGGAACATATAGAGAGGTGAACACCTTGCAGTGCAGAGTAAGTGGACTAATCACAGGACAGCCCAGCTAGCTTCCATTCTCTGCATTACATATACAGTTAATTTCAAAAATGTTTAAAGCTTTGAAGTAGTTCCTATTTTATAAACCTTCTCACAGCAGAAGCATTCTCAAATCAAATTCTGCTTGCTAAGAAAGGTATCAGAGGCACAACCTGTCACGATGTGGCTTGGTTTAATTTTCAACCACTCTTAATTTTCATTTTTGGGTCTCAAGTATTAAAAATTATAAGCATCAATGTTGCCAATTTTGAAAGCTCTCAGTTGTTGACAGCATTTTAAATACTTAAGACCTTTAATGCTTAAATCTTAATCCACAGCTCAAACAGAACTGAGCAGAACACAAGTGCACCAAACTGTAATTACATCCCAAGATCAGACTATTACGCAGTTTAAAATGGACCTATTTAAGACTGAATTTGAAACTACTCATATGAACACACAGTTCATCCTACAAACCCCTCCAGCTACAGAATACGTCTATGAACCCACTGTAATTCCACAAGACGCTGCTCATCAGTTGGCTGAAGAGACAGCTCTTAATGTACACTAAATGTCTCTTATATTAAAAAACCCCAAACCATTAAGCAAAGATTCCAGCTTCTCAGATGCCCTTTCTTCTGCTCAGCTATGATCTACAATTTGGAGGGAGTAATAATAAGAGTGCCTTTCTGAAGTGCCTCATTTTGCCCTGACCGCTGAGAATTTGTGTGATATTTCCTCTGTTTAATTTTGTGCTATGGGCTCTTTAATAATTTTTTGGCTTCACAAAATTTACTCCCTAAACCAGCAGATTCTCATCTGAGAAAATGCCAAGTGTGCCAGGAACTGCTGGGCACAATGGGGTGCTGCCTCATCAATGCACATAACCTGTTCCAATAGTAGCGCAGGCATTGGCGACATGAGATCAGTGCGTACTATTATTCTTCAAACAATAGTAATCAGTATAAAAATCAGTAATTAAACCTTACATTGCAGAGTAATTTTAGGAAAAAGAACTGAAGCAAGAGCTTGCCTAAACTACCTATGTGGTTTAGTTTTGAAAGACTTTCTGCATACAGCAATATTCAGACAAATGTAAAAAATTCAGTTTGTACAGAAGGTAACAATAATCTGATGCAGCCCTAAGTCTCCTGAAATAAAGTAAAGCTTGTTACATGGAGCAAATATAGTTTTACACAAGTGATAAAAGGGAATAAAAAATTACAATGTACACAGTCACTGGAGCCCTTCTTCAGCATGGAAACAAAGACAGTCATGTCCAGCCACACATAGTGGCAAAACCAGCCTGTCTTTGGCCAACGGCATGTTCTTCCTCTGGGGTATTTTTAGCAATGGATTTCTAAGGGTTCTAATGGATTTTAGAATCTGTGTGGCTGTATTAAGGCTCTGCAGCTAGCAGAATTGTTTGGTCCTATTTCTGCCACATTCATAGAAAGAACAGGCAAATATCTGGCACTCCTGCTATTTTTTGCCAAGCTATGCAAATGATTCAGCAGCTGACAGTGGAAATGCAAGAGCTTCCTGGCAGGAAGAAATTACTGAATTGTCAGCAACATCCTAGCAACTTCCTAGACATCTGCAGAGCCTACCCATGTTGCTGCTAAAGAGACCACAGGGAAGGCAGAGGTGCTTGTGTAGCTTCTCTAAAATGCGGGCATGAGTTGGGTTTTGTTTGGTTTGTTTTTTTTTTTTTTTCCTGGGGCAGTGGGGTGGGACAGGGAATCTTACTGTTTTCTCATTGTGCTCATGACCTCTCTGTTGTCAAGGGTAGATTTTAAGAATTTGGACTGTGAACAGAAGTTATCCCATACGAAAGGAAGACTTACATGGTCAAAAAATAGATGTGTAGGTGTGAGCTCTTCCTCTTAAGCCAAATTCTCCCTAGTTTTTTTTTTTTTTTTTACACCACTGAAAGGTTTCAAGGAAATACCAGGTATCTGGCAGTTCCAAGTAAATTTCCTTACCAGAACACTTCTTGACTCTCTGTACTTTTTCAAAAGCTTTGTCTGCTTCATATTAAGTTTATGGTTCTTTGCCTCTCGTTTAAGAACTTTCTGTATCTGTGGAGTCACTTTCATCTTTGGTTTGAGACGCACCCGGTAGCTGTCAGGAACCAGGAACTGGAAGCAGTAAGGACATACTCGTTCTAATGCATGGTCCTTATCTATGGATTAGCAAAAGTAAGAGAGTTAGACTTAAATTATTATGTTTAACAGGCAAACACTGAAACGGTATGTTTCTATTTTAGCATTACCTAGGTAGATATGTTTTTGTTTCAGATACAACTAGAGCAGAAAAGGAAGCTGAGCACCAGGGTGTGCTGCACCGAGCACAACTCATGCCGTTTATGCACAGCATAAGTTTACACAATATGCAATTGTAAATTTTCCTGAAAAAATGCAATTCCTTCCTAAAAATCATTAACAATGGAGGCTCACAGTTCCACAAGGAGCTCCATGCTGGTGCACTCGTTCGCCAGATCAGCAACACCGAAGTCTTGCAAAGCCATCTGCACATTTGAAGTGCAAAAAGAGGGCAGGATCTCAGCCCGGGCCGCGGAAATGCTTTCAGGTGAATTTCAGACCGCAGAATAGCAGGCAGGGTGCTGTGCCTGCTGCCGGAGCCGAACACCTCTCCCTCGAGCCCGGGGGGTCACCCAGACCCCGCTCCCCAGCACTGCGCCAGTACTACCAGCAGGCCCGGGCGGCGACCCTGCGGGTACCGCCCGCCCTGCTTCTGC